ATCTACTTACTTGCGCTCCCTCCATACTAAGCCCAAAGACTGAGCGACAAATCCCCATTTATCCGCCGCCTCTTTGATCCTAGGAGTTCAATGTTAGATCATTGGACAGAAACCCATCTCAAGTGGATGGTACCTTTTCTCAGTGGATTTGCCAGCCCCGTGCCCGGACTTCTTGTCGATGCGGATAAGGAGAGGATGAGGATTTTTGGGTAACGTATGTTGCAGCGTCGCCGCGTGCTTGAAGGAGTGCATCGGCACGACACGGTCATCGTCTGCAGAAATGAGATTTTTCAGAACACGAGTTGTTGATTGGGTTGAAGGACGACGTACGATCGGCGGTCAGCAGGATGGTTGGAGGTAGTACCTTATCAGTAGGAACGTTGTGTAATGGGGAAAGTGGATAAATGAAATCAAAGTCTGCAGGCTGGTCAGGGTCGCCGTAGTCAGAGGCCCACGCCTTTCCTGCAAAAATTGAGAGGGTCAGGCTTCATAATCAAATTAACACCGAATGAATCCCTGACCAATCGTGAACTTTGAAAACTGTCAATCGAGATCAGTTGCGGACTTTTGGTTATCGAATGAAATAGATTACTTTGAGTAGGTCCATTACACCAACTTCGGCGACAGCTGCACCGAACGTGCCTTCCGGGGCACGATTTATACAGGCCCCAACGAGCAAGCCTAGAAATATGAGTTCATATTCGAGATAGACGTTCCAAAATTTACGGTGACGATAAATACTCACCTCCATTCGATCCTCCATTAATAGCCACCTTTCCTGGAGCAACGTATTTGTTCTTGACAAGATGTTCACTGCAGGGTTGACGGAAATGAATTCAGGACGTTGTGAAGCACATATCAACGTACGTTGCAGCAACGAAGTCATCAAAAACGTTCCCCTAGAATATGCAAATCGCTCCAGTCAGCAAGATGATCTCGCGATTTTTGAGTTTGGAAAGTCGAACCTTGCGCTCTCTCGTTCCTGCTAAATGCCATTCCTCGCCGAATTCTGAACCTCCCCTGATGTTGGGTACTGCCAAAACAACGCCATATGTTTGCATAAATGTGAGGATGCTCGGGCTGAAGAAGGGGTTGATCGAGATACTGAAGCCACCATAGCCTGACCCAAGCAAAGTTAGGCTGGATCATTCTGGCCAAAACATTGGGCTCTGCTCACCATACTGGAGAGCGGGCGCGGTGCCATCGAAAGGTGTTGATTTGTGGCGAACGATAAACATCGGAACCTTTGTGCCGTCCTTGCTCTCATACCATACCTAAATAGAATGAGATAAACCGTAAGCTTGTCCACATCTAAAGACGTACCTGTTTGGCCTCAAAGTCGTCCGGATTGAGACCCTTGATATCGGTCGTTCGGTAGATGCTCCAGCGCTGTCCTTCTGGTGCGGTGAAGTCATAACGTGCTACTGTGCCAGGTGTATTGAAGCCCGTCAACGAGACAAAGAAGTGGGGTTGGTTCTGTCGCGAGGCGAGGGATGCGGCACCGACGAAATCTGACGCCAAACGAGTGAGCTGCTTGCCAGTTTTCGAATACAGATAGAGCTCGTCTTTGACCTGACGTCGTTATCGTGAATCAAGGGAGGGAACGAGAAAATAAAAGAAAGAAAGCATACATTTCGCTTGTACACGACGAGGAATGTGTCACCGTTGACAAAGTCGACATCGGCGAGATTGGCACCCTTGTCCTCGGGGATAAGGTCAGCGAATACGGGTTTGTCTTTGGAGAGATCAATGGTGATGACTTTGTACTGGGGTGCGTCAGCATTAGTCCTGAGGTACAAGATCGGGCCCTCATTCGCGATACTATCATGATTACGAATCAGAAAAAACCCAGATGTTGATCGAGCAGGAACTTACATATGATATTCACTTTCGAATTCGTCAACAACCTTTCGCCATTTCATATTGGGCCCAATTTCGTTCTCTTTGAGGTCAGCAATCCACATTAAATTTTTCTGAAGGGGTAATATGAGCTCGATACAGTCTCCTCTGTCGTCGAATGAAATGTTACCCTTGAGGTGTCCTTTGCGGTGTACAAAGCGAGGTAATTGCTATCCTTTGTGATTTCTACGCTGAACATCCATTCGGGATTTGTTTTATCGCTATGTACCAGAATATCCTCCGCTGCACAAGATGGTCATTCTCAAAGACCGGCGCAATCCGAACGTAACGGAACTCACATTGGTTCGTGCCCAACTTGTGGTAGTAAAGCGTTGCATCGACATCACCTCCTGTTTCGATTCCATCTTTGGCTTCCTTTGGGGCCGGATAGCGCTTAAAGCTCGATGAGCAAGTATCGGATAGAAGTATTGCACAAGTTACACTCACCTGATATAAGAAGCCCTTGGAATCCTTGGACCATTTGATCGAAGAGAACTTAACGTGTTCAATAACGTCTGCGAAGCGATCATCCTCTTTACCCGCTGCCTTGCTGGCCTCGGAAAGGGGGGAGTCCGTGGAACGAACGAATATCGTTGAGAAATCACTTCCCTGTCCTTGTGAATTAGATGACCACAGATAAGACCGGTGAAAAGGCACACCGAGTAAGAGATTCCGTAGGCAAAATATTTACCGCAATCTGAGAAGTCGTATATTGAAAGAGCAGCTGTTCCGTCGGTGGTCAAAAGGTTGGGCTAACAAGGGTGGGTGATCCATCAATTAATTTCCATAAGAAGGAAGGTATAACGTACGTCAAAGAATACTTCTTGCTCGCTAGAAGTTCCTTGAGAGAAGCTGGGGAGGTTTTTACCCTTTGAACGGTAAAGGACTGCGGAGACAGGTTCAGCGAGCCGCAATTAATAGTCGAACATTCGTAGTTCACCTGCTTGATGCTGCAGCCCACTATTATAGAACCAGTACCAGCGGCCATCGTCGTAGAGTACCGGAGAGGTAAACTGAATAAATGCTACAGTTAACGGTTGGAATCCAAGACATAAACAGCACCCTGTACCTTTGCATAATCCATGTTAACACGAATATCATCTTCTAGCCGTTGCCTATCAGCGTTCTTGTCTAGATAAGTCCTTGTGAAAACCTCCTGGGCAGTAGTCCATTTATCCGTCTCTTCAGAGTCTTCCTCCAGCCACTGGTAAGGGTCCGAGACGCGAACCTGGCCCTTCTTAGCGCTCTTATAGATATCAACGTGATCTGACCGACGGGTCGGAGGGTACACATTGGGTATCCACGGCGTCGAGGACATGGTGGTAGTTGACAGAGAGCGAAAAGCCGGGAAGAAGACGCGTCTGGCCCGGAACAGAGTACTGAATCTGCAAATTGGGGAACACTGCATGGTGAGATGGGTCTTTATAAGGAAGGTTGTTGGAGTCAAGTTCTTATGTAAGACAGCGTGAGGCGTTTAAGGGACTCTCTTTCCTTTTGCCAAATCAATCACTCAATCGATGGTACATATCGATGGATTATCTACCCTCTAAAATGAACAGGCGGAAGGCCACAAGACCGCAGAAAATTGCAGAAGATCTTCCTGACATGTCAAATGCGCAAATTGCGGCCTTACCTGGGAACCTTTCGAGTATAAACACTCCTTGGCCACATCTTGAGATATACTTGCACATTATGTGATTTATTCTTAAGGCAAACGGGGATATAGACTCAATCAGAGATGCTCTGCCCCCTTAATTTTCTCTGAAGCAACCCCGAAGCTGCGCGTATGCACGCCTGAAATAACCTGGAGATCCTCAAACGCCGGTCACATGTGAAGCCCATGCCATGTCGAGCAAGAGCAACTCATTCTCTGACCAACTGACCAAGTTATGATGCCTTTCATAATGCGGCCGACATTTGACACGATCTGGCGTCTTGAAGTGAAAAAATTGGGCGTAAGGTGGATCGATGTATGGTCATTTTCTTACCTTGTCCAAGGGCCAAGATATCACTTGATGTTGGTGGTGGCATCGAACTTTGAAAATTCACATGGCCTGTCATGAGGTTGTTGATCAGTTGAGGACCTGATGAAGGCAAAGCGCTTGATCCACCAAGAATTGGACCACAACCTGGGAACGACTGTTCGAAGCTGGGGCTGCTTGAATTTGAGGCACGCGCATGTAACACATTTTCAAATTTCCTTCATATTCTCACCGAATCAATGTAGGTTAAGCTTCATGTACCCCGGTATGGTTATCAATGGTGTTCCACCACGTAAAGCACCACTTAACTTTCAAATGCTTGACAGTCTGAATCATGTCTTCATTCCAGCTAAATTATATTTCTCGCGGTAATTAATACACTCAAGGCCCAGTAACCATCGGCGTCGGAGAATATTAATGAAGCTTCATCCAAACCCATTGATACCAACTCTAACCCATCTTATCACCACACATTTATCGTTCAACTGATCTCAACGGCGAAAATGGGAAACTCGTGACTCAAATCAGGAATAATTCATCCTGTGTGGGCCTGCCACGACATGTACTTGCCTAGATTCTAGAAGACCCAACAACTTCGGCTGCACAGAAAGAGAGAGTCAAGCCAAAAACCAGAATCTCGAATTTCGTGAACCCACCACTGTCAAAAATTTCAACTGCCCTCTTTTTTTTTTCTGCACATCCCTATTTATATGAATGAAATGCACCCGTCCCTGCTTCGACTTATTAAACGTTGAATACACATGGTGGCTGTTGAAAGGACTTCACACCAAGAATCTTCACAAGGTCGCCGCCTATCTAATCAGATATAGAAGCACCTTCCCAGGTCCCTCGGTTATCGGAAACTGCCCGTTTCACTTACACAGTCGATCTGAAAGCAACTGTCTCACCCCATTTCTGAACATCCTGCATCTTCTGGATCGGCGGGGCATCCGGGCCTGAAGAGCATTCGAAACCCTTAGGTGCACCTACTCTAGGCAATCAACTTCACAAATAGCTTCTGGACCGTTTCCTTCTTTGCTTTCAAGTTGTTTCCTCTCTGTTTTGCTTGCATCGGCGTTGGCATTGGAGGATTTTTATATCCCCATCCCCAATTTAGCCGCCCGCCTAGCTCAATCGGATAGAGCGTCAGACTCTTACCCATTCATTTCAACAGGCATCTGAAGGCTGCGAGTTCGACCCTCGCGGTGGGCTACAGTAGCATTGTTTTGCACATCGGAAGCCTTGGCAGATACCATTCTACGTTGGTCAAGAGAACCACTGCAGGCTCACACTCGTGCTCATTGGACAAACATCCGATTGGGTGATTCGCGAAATGATCGCACGGCTGGATCTGCGAGGTCTTCCTGTGCGGTTATTTTGAGCTGCACGAGTACGACATGTTAATAAGGATTGAGAATCGGGCTTACCGGCTCACGTTGCTTTTCTCGCAGGACGAACGTGGGCACGGTCCCAATGGCGGCAAAGAACTGTTCACAGTGCGGAATGGCATGTGTGGCACTATGCAGGAGTATCCTTATATTCGGGGCGGGACCCTTATACACATAATAGTTTTGCTACTCTGAAATAACGCCGAGTAGTAATCACACGTAGTTACCACCCCACGAAACGTATCCCTTATCCACCGAAGCGATCTCACGAATGAGGGAGATCAGAGCCCGGAGCCTGTTCTGGCCCCGCCGGCGCCTCCCACATAAGCCACAGTGCGTTCCCTCGAGTTCAGGCGATGGACATTGGAGTCGCGCAAAAGTGATCCCCGTAACTGGGGGAAACCCCGGGGTTCCAGACGAGGTCACTCAGATTCCAAGGTGCCTCAGGATTCCTCCCACGATGAAATCACGATCTTGACTCGGATCGCGCTGCAATTGGCGAAATACGCCACGTCGGCCAATCAGAGACGAGACGTTGCGCGAAGTGGTTCCCTAATCTTGTAAGCGGTACACCCCGTTGAATTACCGCACATCATGATTAGTACATAATCATATCTTCAGGAGTACCAACGCGTCAATTCCATCGCTCTATTGAACAGTTGTATATTGAAAGACAAACCTTCATTGACAAGTGGCGTAATTTCGGGCTCTGGAGATATGGGCTGATGCATGTGCTATATTTTATAGAATGGGGGGGCGATCGAAGGCGATCGATGATACATACTCCTGCGCTTACTGAGAGAAAACGTCCGACTTGTACGACACAGGTGGCACCGTAGCTTCAATGATATCCGTGCCGACTGCGGAGTGCTGAGTGGAGAAGTCAATGCCATTTACAATATATCAAGTATGACGTACTTTAGTATCGGCATCAGCATATTTCATGGTTTTTACTCTTTTCTCAGAAGGCGCCACAAGTCGTCATGTAAACTAAGATTTGCCGAATTGGTAGCAGGTGAGTAAGAATATTAGTATTTCATTATCTCCTCCATTAGAGAAAGAAGCGAATATTAAGGTATTATTGTGAAGCTGCAATTGGCTTGCCGGGGACGAGAAAAGAGGGATCGATGGCCAAGTATTGACGGCCCGACAACAATCATCACGTCACATGATCTGTCACGTCTGAAATTTCTGTTGACGTCGACGGGCTTGAAGTTGACCAACATCTCTCTAGACGGCCTCGAGTCAAGTTTCCTGCGTTCGTCAAGCCCGGAGCTTTTTTTTTTTAATTGCTACATCCAGCTTTTGCTGGTATGGCTGGACAGCAGTCCTCGCAAGCCAGTTATTTCCCAACAACAGCCCTGGTTAGTCGACCATATCACCGCTTGCAGTTTGTGAGGAACTTCCTGAAAGAAAAAAACTGAATTATAGGATCATGCCGCTGCGGGACTCGGTGCGGGAGTCGTAACGACGCTATGCATGAACCCTCTCGACTTATTGAAAATCAAGTTCCAAGTGGATACCTCAAACCCGAGGGGCACACTCGGGAAACATATATGGTACTCTTTGCTAGATATCCACCAGAAGCATGGATGGACGGGACTGTACCGGGGTCTTGGACCCAACATCGCTGGCAACGCGTCGTCTTGGGGTTTATACTTCCTCTTGTATGTTCTGTGCCTTACCGAGTCATTATCCTACCCTAACCGTATCACAGTTACAACATGTTGAAGAAACGCGCATCTGATGGGGACCCGTCGAAGCCTTTGCCTTCGGCCACGTTCCTCATATGCTCCGCTCAAGCGAGTTCGCAATCCCCTTCTTGAAAGTGCCGACACATGCTGACCAGCAAATGTGTGCAACAGGTGCTGTTACTGCTGTCATGACCAATCCATTATGGCTTGTGCGAGTACGGATGTTCACTTCCCAAGCTAACTCTCCCTCCGCATACCGGGGCTTGTGGGGTACGTCTGCTACGTTTATCTCCGTCTCTCCCAGGGTCGTCTGAATCTTTGCCAATCAGATGGTCTCTCGACTATTGTTCGTACGGAAGGAACTCTAGGTCTATTCCGTGGAACATCACTTGCTCTGGTCGGCGTCAGTAATGGTGCTATCCAATTCGTCGCCTATGAAAAGATGAAGCAGTGGGCATTCGAACAAAAAAGGAGACGGTACCAAAACTTGGGACAGGAATGGGACATGGACGCCGACAAGCTGGTGTGTCCTTTTTTGTCCCCCTCCATTTCGATGCACTATTCAAAGGCTCGTGTCCTCCCAGTCCAACACAGCGTATACTTTTATGTCGATCACGAGCAAGCTCGCAGCACTGGCACTAACATACCCATATCAAGTGGTCAGGTCGCGAATACAGGTATGCACAAGAGCCGAACGCCCCGAACTTGTGGATAGTGACTAACTTTTGGTCACCTTCACAGGATAACGCGGCTGCAGCCTTATTCCCGACGATTCCCGAGACTATCAAACGGACGTGGGCACAAGAGGGCACGCGTGGTTTTTATCGCGGGCTCGGGACCAATCTTGTGCGTGTGCTCCCTGGAACATGTGTGACGTTTGTGGTGTACGAAAATTTGGCGTGGCTACTGCGGTCGACGGCGGCGAAGCGGGAACAGCGACGACAAGCTAGTTTGCAGTAAATGTGAGCAGCATTAGAGATGCACAAGTACGATAATCATATGGTCTTCCTAATCACGGGTATTCTACCACGGAATGTATACTAGTAAGCCTTACTTTAGCAAATCCCATCTCCCTTCCCCTCCTTCAGGCGATGCGAAAAAAAAGTCCCAAGAGAGAAGCCTGAAAAAAGAAATACTTGTCAGCAAAGATAAAAGAAAGAAGGGTTGACGAAGAAAACAGAGCTCAGAATAACTTTGACTACAAAGCCTTCATCGCGCAGTAGCGCCCCGCCTACACCCGTCTGCACACCGCGTCAAAACGAGTTGGGGTGCTAGGCGGAGTTGGAGCTAGACCAAAAGTCCCCACGCTGAGCGGCATTATGCCATTCTTTTCATCACAGAAGCAGAATGAGAGGAAACAGATGTGAAGAGAACATTGACCTTTCTCAATAGAATTGCTGCAGTGCGGAGTTGTTGACTGGTGTGGTCGCCAGCACAATCCCAGTTTTTTTTTCTTTTCCCTTCTTGGTGACTTTGCGCCTATTTGCCGTTTGATTATCACTGAGATTAGATCTCAACGTTCAACTTTCAATTTCAAACTTGTATTGTGAAAACAGTTGCGTTCAAGTTATCTTCTAACCTCTTTCCGCATCATATATTTTCTCAACTACGTAGATACACATATTGATGTGCTGTTTTGAGCCACGATAAAGCGTAGCCCGCCGACAAGTTGCTTTTTGGCGCGTCGCGATCAGGTGACCGAGCCTTCTTTCAGACTCCGCGATTTGTACCCTTCTTCGGACTAACTCGAGAGTCGAACCCTGTACACTCTGAGTCGCCCATCGATTTGCCTCATCTGAGTCATCTGACACCACACAGACTGTGGCGCAAAGCCTAAGTCGAAATGACAACCTGTGTTTTCCTTCACTCAAATGGCCCGAGCTATTTTTGGCACAGCGCCTCGAACTTTGTTTTCGAAAACGTGGAAAGTCCACCGCAGTGCTGCCGTGGGTTGCGTTCCTTTCATGGTGAATGATCTTCTACTAATATCTTATCCACTCTGCAATACTGGATATCTGTTCTTATTTTATTCGTCGCAATCTACGCGTTTTGAATATTGGAGATAATGAGTTTTAAAAGGTGCTCCTTCTGCTGAGGACGTTAATTTGATCGACCAGTTAGCCACCTCGTCCTTGTTTGTTCGTGATAGTCCGATTGGCTCAAAACCACGCGCGGATTGTTTTCAGTCTTCCTCCTCCCCCATTCCTTACGTCCGTTTATACATCCCTTGACGGGGTATATAAAACACACAACTATCTCACTCTCCTCCGTCTCTCAGTATATCATGTCTGCTCATTCCCGTAGTCTCAACAACGCAGCGTCGCTCATTCCCGACGGTCTGCATAATCCTCAGCTCTTGCATCTCGTGGAGAATGGCGTGACGATGGAAATGATAGAGTACGTTGCTCGCTTTGCAGGAAAAGTCATTCGTATTCAGGAGGAGCTTTCTGCGCCATCGGTACTTCCAACGCCACCGCCCACGCCTCAGAGGGTGACAGTCGTCGACCAACAGGATCAGCCTCCTCTGCCAAAGATGATCTCGTTAGAGCAGTTCATATATCATCTAGTTAAGGTCTCAAACGTCCAGGTGTCTACTCTTCTCACCACGCTGGTGTATCTCGAACGGTTGCGCTCAAAGCTGCCTGCGATGGCAACAGGTCAGTTCGCCTCCTTTCTCAACATCGCCATGCACTAAACCCTTAAACCTTTCGTTGCGTTTGCAGGGCTTCCGTGTACGCGCCACCGCGTTTTCCTTGCGACTCTCATTGTCACCGCGAAGTATCTCAACGACTCATCACCAAAGAACTGCCACTGGGCGAACTACGCGGGCATGTTCGATTGTCCTGAGATCAACCTCATGGAGAAGCAGCTCCTTTATCTTCTTGACTATGACCTTCGCTTCAAGGAGGCCGATGCATGCAGGCTGTTCGCACCCTTCATGACAACAGCGTCTCGTCGTACCCAAGCTGCCAATATTAGGTCATCGGCAGTTAGCCGAGTCGTCAGAGGTGGACGCGCCAGGGCCGCTCACGCCCAGACCCAGCAGGTACAACTGCCTACGCCCACGGAGGAAAGCGTTCAGCCCTCGCTTCCTGTTCCTGCTCCACTTCCCGCTCCGTCTCCAGTTCAG